TGACCTCCCTGGACCCCTGTTGCCCTGGCCAATCTTGAGTAGCACTGGGAGCTTGAAGGGTGCGATGCCAGGGGCAGAGAGGCGAGCCAGCCCAGTCTGGACCCTCCGGCTGACCCTGCCCTCGACGGTACCGTGGCCATTCCTGCAGGGGGTGCCAGCGAGCAGCTCAGGGGCTTCTAAGGAAGGCTGCAGCTGCCCCCTTCTTCCCCCAACCGATGAGCCAGCAAGCCCTGCTGCACGCCTGCCCCGTCTCCTCAGGCTTCCGATCAGATTGTTCAAACACGTCCTCGGAGAAGAAACCGCGCTCCCCACTTCCGCGCAGCCACCAGCTGCTGAGAGCCTCCAGCTGCGCCAGGCTTCGGTGCCAGCCAAGCCCTCTGCCCGCTCAGCTGGGCAAGCTCCCTACTCGCATGCTGGCCAGGAGAGGAGCGGCTCAGAGCTGCACCTGCCACTGTCTGTGCGGATGAAAGCGGCTTTGACTTCAGACCGGGGAGGAAAAGTCTCGGGATGGTCAGTCACAGGGAAGTCTGGTCACCAAGCAATTGTGAGCCATCTGCCAGGAGAGGGAGAGCACCCCGGGGAAGGGGGATGAGAATGACTCGCGGGGCAACACTAAATGGGGTGGGATTGCCCTAGAAACCTTGCCACAAAGCCCCTCCGTGATGCTGGCAGGAGGAACCAACTGCAGGGTCCACGTGGCTTAAATCTGGCCTTTGCATCTCAAACAGAGCAGGACTTAGCACTGGGAACAGGGCCGGCCTTAGGCCGATTCCTCCAAATCGGGCCTCGCGCACTGAACCCGGAAGTGTGCCGGGTACGCTGCGGGAGGGGGTGTCGGCCCCGGAGGAGGAGTGCGGTGGCTTCCCCAGGAGGTGTGAGTTGAGCGGAGGGTTTCCCTGCGCCGTGGTGTGGGTGGGGGGGGGGGGGTTTTGTGCTCAACCAAAAAAGTGTCTGCCCCCCCCCCGTGAAACTTGTGTGTGCAGTGTGGGGTTTTTTTTTTTTGCTCAACCAAAATTGCTGCAGGGCCCTGTTGAAATTGTTTGAATTGGGCCCCACCCTTCCTAAAGCCGGCCCTGACTGGGAAGGGGTGGTTTGGGGGTTGTCCTGGCTGTTTTGGGATTCCTCTGGCATGCCTTGCTGAGGGGCAGCTTGGGGGATCAGAGGAAGCGTCTGCTGCTGCTTATACCCTTGCATGGGGACTGGCGCATGGAACGACACCGAGTGGCTTGTCCGCTGGGTGGGTGCGCGCTGGTGAGCAGCGGGGTGGGGTGTCCTTCCTGTCTCTTGGCCGGGGGAGCGAAGGGGCTGAGGCGGGGCCCCCTGACTGGGGAGGGGCGAAAAGCCAAGGCAGGGAGCAGGGGAAGTTAAGGAGGGGCAGAGTCAAGGGTCTAGAGAGCTGGTCTCCAAAGCCCAGGCTAGTCCGGTGCCTGCGAGCCTCTCAGCCCCCAGTGATGTCACGCCCCGCCCACCGGACACTGCTTCTCCCTGTAGTCAGTGGCTCTCAGCTCCCCGCTCCCGAGTTACGAGAACGGGCGTCTCTCTGCCCTCCCCCCGCCGCCGGGGCTCTAGCCTGGCCCGGGACCCGTTCCAGCAGGCGCCTGGATCCATGGGCCAGCCCCGCTCACATTAGGCCAGTTTCACAGTCCTTCTGGATGGGCACCACTCGCGATTGGTTTCCATGCCCAGCGCCCAGCAGGGGCAGACAGGAAGGCCAAGAGTCGCGGCTGCCAAACAGAACACAAGCCCCTGAGCATCCAATGTCAGACCAAAGCCCTGGCATGGCGCACTGCTGCTCAGTAATGCGGTGCACGCCTTGCGTCACGGGGCGAGTCCAAAGGGCGCCCGTCCACCCAGGCGCCACGAGACGACACAGCTTCCACTGAGAGGCAGACCTGCTCCTGCTGGCCACAACTGACAGCCCAGTGGGTGACAGCTGCCCACTGCACCGTGCCCAGCGCGCACAAAAGGAAGTGAAAAGCCAACACAAGCGGGGTCAGAACAGGGCACTAGAGTCAAATTAGCTCAATTAGTCGAATATTGGAAAGAGCAGTTTCCTGTGGGCCTGGAGTCATGGAAAACCCTACAGGACACAGTGGGCTGGACACAGAGATGCCTTCCCCACCCCATCCCCTAGGAAGCTAGACCCGTTTTCTTTGTATTTGGACAAGTTGAACCTCTCTAACCCAGCACCCTCAGGGCCTGCCCAGTGCCAAACCACGGGAGGTCGCTCTTGTCTAGCAGCATTACCGCTGATGACTTGAATGCAAAAAAATCAAGATTTTGCAGACAATCAAGCCAGCGCTGGCGTCTTGCTGTCTCAAGGAAGCATAGTGGGTTTTTGCAGCACGAGCACTCATGCTGGAGCAACTCCTTTGCGTCTCTCGTCACGCCTGGGGCGGGCTTTTTCCAGAAGCCTCCAGGAATGTTCTTCTAGCCTACTGCTCTCAGGAGCCCTATGAGCCGTTAGCAGCATTGGTCTCGCTGGAATTCTTGCAACTGTTCTCTCCACCACCTGTCTGTAGGCATCCTGATCAGCGCTCGGCAAATTCCATCGAGGGCCTGCTCTGGAAAAGAATACAGGAATGCTGAGGCCTGGGTAGCTCACGCTAGGCTGGCTGGAATTGCCAGAACACTTCAGGTGTTACGATGAGAGTGTTACCACTGATAGTTGTGCAGAACGTGGTCTCCTCTTCGGCTGATGGAACACCACCAGAACCTGGGTGGGTGCCCTTGATGTCTATTGCCAAGCCAGACTGAGGAGGATGGCTAGTCGTCAGGTCGTATGCATAGACACGCCAGCGCCCAGCCTGTTGGTCGCTGCCCACTTGGATCTCTTGTGAAACGAGGCTCTTGCTGCTGTATGGCTTCGGCAAGTTTCCAAGGTACTTGTATATTGCCGGTGAGGTCCTTCAACATTCAGCTGCAGAATTCTTATTCCAGGACCTACCTGCCCTGTCGTACAGCCCTGAGGAGGAACTTTCAGATTGGCCGAGTGGCTGCTCCGGTGAGCGGGAGACCTCCGAGCAACGCCCGGTCGGCGAGCTGACGGCATTCATTGCGACGCCTCATTTAGAGCGAAGGCTGCTATCCTCCACTGCGCACTGGGCCACGAATCAGCTCAGAGCTTCAAACAGGGTCCAGTATTCATTGCAACATGGAAAGGCGACCAGAGAGAGGTCCCAGGGAACTAGAGAGCCCACACCACCCCAAGGCCTGGATGGCAGTGCCCTCCTTACCCCCTCGAGCCACCACTTCCTTGTTTTAGTGACTCATTAATACAGGGCTTGCTTAAACAAGATCAGGCTAACTGTGGTGGCTTGCAGGGGTACGCCAATACTCTGCCCAGTCCGGCTTAATCGAGAAAGGAGTCCAGGTTTCTGAGTAACTGACCTCATTCCTCCTCCACTGCGCTAGGGGTGCGCCCACAGCTGACAAGTGGGAGGCTGCTGGAAAAGCACTCCTTGCAGGAAAACCATGTTTTAAATTAAGGGGGGAGGGCATTCAGGATAAAATATGAAAAAGCTGTAGTTGGGATGAGTGGCTGAAGGTATTTAAAGAACCCTCCCCACCTCACGCCCATTCTGCCCGATCCAGGGGGTGCTGACGTAAGTTCACCTCAATCTGCTCGGCGCTGCTGGTGAGCCTGGTTTACAGGCACCGGTGCTGCAGCGCCTTCAATGTGCTCGGCGCTGCTGGTGAGCCCGGTTTACAGGCACCGGTGCTGCAGCGCCCTTCACCATGGGCCACTGGCGCACGTACGAAAAGCTACAAGGCAAATCTGCTTATTAGAGTCCCGCCCTCATCAGCGGGAAATGACCAAGAGACTGGACTCAGCAACAGCAAAGCCACACCCCCAGAGTTCAGAAAACTCAGGAGCAGTTCCGTACTGAGTGACCCTGTTCTGCCTCCGATCAGGCCGTGTGCTGAATACAAGATGTGAAGGGGGCAGAGTCCTTGGGCGAGCGAGTGGGAGCAAGGCCACGCGAGCACAGGAGCAGCGTGGCTCTTTGAACTGCAGAGCCACTGATTAGTCTCTGCTCATCTCAGAGCACAAGTGCATCTGAACCCCTGCTCGCACGTGCGGGTGAGAAATCGGCACATGTGCAAGGGCACGACTCCAAAAGCAGCAAAGCCCTGGAGAACCCCGCGGTCGACACACCCCTGGGCTCTGCCACAGACGCTCGTGGGAAAGTCTCCTCCCCCGCCAGCAGAGAGTAGGTCAGCACGCCACTGCATGCACAGGGAAACTGGCCCGGAGCACAGAACGGGAAATGCACTGCAAGAGCCTCCAGACAGAAGGCGCTACCGCCCCAGAGCACACGCTCTGTTACTTCAGCAGCACCGCCCCTACTGAGAAATAGCTCCGAGTCCCGTGAGCGGCTCCCTGTCCTCCCCGAGCGCTCCAGCAAGGGCGCCCCCATGAAAAGCTCTGCCCCTTCGGAGCAGTGCATCTAGGTTTCCTTCTCCCTGCTGGGAAAACACTGGGGCGTGATGCTGGGGTTTGGCACCCCCTGGTGGAGAACTCACTTCCACGCCTTTTCATTTCTCATGAGGCCAGGGATCAAATTACACGGACTGACACTGCTGTTCTGTGCAGCCAAGTGTCACCGATCCAGCGCACCCAATGCTGCTCAACGCTAGCGTAAGATACACAACTCCAGCTAGGAGAACAGCATAACTGGAGTCGTCGTACCTTCAATCGAGTTTCTCCAGCGTCCCCCTGTGGGAGGAGGACAGGAGAAACTCTCCCGCGGACTTCCCTTGCTCCTACCGACTCTGTGGGGTACCAAGATCAACAGGGATAACGTCAGAGGACAATTTAGCAGGCCCTTACTAGACCTACTAAATCAAACCCCAGGAGATGGATCTCCGGGTAAGGACAGGCAAGCCAGAGAACAGAAGCAGCATCTATTGCTATTGTGTGCCACCAACATTTTAGCCACTTATTTTCCAAAGTCAACATATAACAATGTGGCTATGCCAGCCCAAGGCACACTCACCTGACCTCTTCCCCGGCAAAATCAAACACTTTGGTGATCGTCACTTTTGCCACGTCTTTCGGCTTCTCTGGCTCTTTCATGTCTTCCTGGAATCTGCTCGAATTCTTCACCTCTGCAGTCTGGGAAACACAGCAACAACAAATCCAAGAGACCCGTGAGTTATCTCAAGGGGCCTAGGGACCATCCCACTGGACTTACAGCTCAGATCCTGGCTCCACTTGGCACTAGCCACAGCAAGTCACCCACAGTAACAGCAAAGGAGATCAGTGGCTTAGCTGCCAGATTTCTATCCCCCACATGGGTTCCAACCCTCACTGCAGGCCCAGGATTGGGACCTCAAACTCCTCGGTCCCCCAGCAGCAAAGCCCAAGAACCCACGGACTGCCCTTTATTAGCATCCGTATGAAGTTCACCTGGAAATTCCAAATTAAGGTTTCTACTCCCAAATTACATTCACTCCCAGCCCTGCTGAGGCCAGCAATGCCCCTCCTCCACCTACATCCCCTTTAATCAGTTGACTGGTTAAACAGAATGTTTAACCAGTTAATGGATTTTACATCTCTCCGATGAACATTAACCGCATGCCAAGTCTAAACTGCCAAAGGCCACAATAGTGTCTTTTTTCCACCATCTTATTTTAAAAAGAAATCCTGCATGCAAGCGACGACCAAGTTCAGCGAGCACCAGTTCAGCTCTCGGAAGAATCCAGCATGAAGATTTCACCCAACCAGAGACCTTTTCCTACAACTAATGAAAACCCAGAGTTCTCCAGCTGACACGATTTGTAGCAAGGGCATAGCAGGGCGCTGTGCGTAGGGCCTCTCAACCACTCAAGTGCACGCATGCGCACGGTTCCTTTTCCCCTAGCTTTGTGGGTTAGCGTCTGAGTTCAGCAATGGCAATAAGGGCAGTTGGATCAGACTCCGTAGCCAAGCAGAGTACAGGGGCCAGCGCCACTCTAAAGAAAGGTCGAGTGGAAAGACAGGAGCTGAGATCCTCCCTCATCTCTGTGACAGTCCAAACCAGCGGCACCGTGGGCCACCCTGGGTCAGGGATGTTTTACACCCCACGTTCCCCCTGCTCCTCACCTTCCTTTCATGAAATGCACATGGAATCAAGAAGCAACAGTGCTGCACGAGAGGGTCTCCTGAAAATAGTGTGCAGCCCACAATAACATCGGGCAAGCCGTTGGCAGCCGCCTGCTCCAGTTACCCCCTTTCCCACGCTGGCCAACCCTTCCCAACCCTGCAGGAAAAGCCGTGCCTGACTGCAGAGTATAGCGAAGGCCACAAAAGCTTCAGCAACCAACGGTCGGTCAGCGCCCTTTACTCATCAGCGTCCCTTCTTTCTAGCTGGGCAAAGAGCTGCACCCCATTTCCGGCACCGCTGCCCACATGGCCACACTTGGGGGAGGAGGAATCCGTACTTGGACCATTCAAACCAACACTCCAGATGGGTGAGTACTATTCAGCAATGTCTCTGGGGTTTAACGCTTCGGATTCTTTCCCCCACCCATCCAATAAGAACTGCCCCGGCCAGGTTTCTCCATTACCTTGTTAGCCTGTGGACCGGGCACCTGAGTGGCAGCTGGTGCTTTGGAATTCTGCCCCACATCACTGAGGAAACTGGCCCACAGAGCATCCTCTTTCTTCTTTTTCTCCTCCTCCTCTTCTGCTCGGCCTCCTTTCACCTGTCTCAGACTGTCGGCCTCCTCCTCGCTGTCGCTTCGCTGATCCTGCAATTCCTCTCCTCCCCTGGGCACTAACAAGATGCCTCCTCTCTTCCTTTTCCTGGGAAGAGATGACAACAGAAATGTTGCAACAGAGCAAAGCCCCCAAAGTGGACACCCAAGCATGGGTGAAGCGACCCGACGATCCTGTATTTACAGACTGATAGATCCTAACCACGAGGGTTCCCTTTACCTTCAAGGGAGTCACTGAAACCCATACTGGTCAGAAAGGTGGGGGCTCAATTTGGAGAATCTCTTTAAATGTTCCATTATATGCCCATACTTGTCAGGAAGGTGGGGGCTCGATTTGGAGAATCTCTTTAAATGTTCCATTATATGGCAAAAGTCAACGGCTGGGAGGGAGGGGGAAGGGATGGAGAACTTGGGTAAGGAAGTGGGTCTCAGCCAGGGGTGTGTGTACCTCTGTGGGGAACATTAACTCATCTAGACATTAGCCTCACTGCACAACACACTACATGTAATGCACAAGCCAACTCAATACAGCAAAATTCCAACCAGGGACTTGGTAACACTGGTCTATATACTAGACGCTGTCCAGTGGATTTATTTGATAGTGTGAGAAAGTGAGCAATTTTTTCAGTATCAGTGTGGCTCTGACACTTTTATATGTTTGTCTGATTTTGTAAGCAAGTAATTTTCATGTGAGGTGGAACTTGGGGGCCTGCAAGACAAATCAGACTCCTGAAAGGGGTACAGTGGTCCGGAAAAGTTGAGAGCCACTATTCTAGGGAAAGGATCCTGGACAAGGAAGTTAGAAATTGGGCTCCAATACTGACGTCCAGCATGACCCAGGGTGAATCATCTAACCACTGTCTCCATATCTGTCCACCGAACAGAGATAATGCTCTTTGAGACTCCTGCCTTATGTGTGTGGCACTTTTTGTATTGTCTTGGCAGATAACCTTGAAAAACAGCCAAAGAGAAAACCTTGGCCTATGCTGCATTTTCACAACTGAAGTGAGGGAGCAAGGTGATTAGTGCTCAGCCACGAGGGCCAGCGGCAAAGCCACTGGCATGTACATTATGGCCCTGTGAAGGTGATGCAGATTGGCACTTACCTGCACACCGGAGCTTTGGAACTTTTTTTGCCTTTTTCTTTCTGCGGTTTCTCCTCATCCTCATCTTCCTTGACCAACTCGCTCACGTCATCTTCACTGTACTCCCCACCTGCAATCACACAGCAGGGGGACCCACAATCACACAAGAACAAGAGGAAAACAAAGACGACTCCTGGCTGTGCATGAGACACACTCACCCTGGCTTAATTAGCCTAATTAATACTGCTCTTACCATTGACAGGTAACTTCTTTTGTGGTTATATACACCCTGGATTCTGTGATTTCCACTCCAACTCATCTGATGAAGTGAGTTTTACCCACAGAAGCTCATGACCTAATAAATCTGTTGTCTCTAAAGTGCCCAAGGACTCCTCGTTGTTTTTAGTTACAGACTAACATGGCTACTCCTCTGAGACTATAAAAGTAAGTCAACCTAACTGACGGTGGCACACAACTGCCACAGTAATTACATTGCTTGTGCGTGTCTACGCTTCGCTCCTTGCATTGGTGGTGCACATCCCCACCAGGAGGGCTTATATTAATAGTACCGGCAGTGTGGGGCATTGTAGGACGGCTTCTGAAAGCCAGGAAGAGCCAACGTACGCAAGGCAGGGTCTACTCCAACACCGCCCTAACTACATCAACCTTGACTCTCCGTCTCTTGCAAGGCAGGGTCTACTCTGACACCGGCCTAACTACATCAACCTTGACTCTCCGTCTCTTGTGGAGAAGTTGCTGGTACACTGGTGGGAGTGAAATTTTAGCGTAAACACTTCCAGAATTAGGTCAATGTAAACTGTCGTTGTCTACCTAGCTCTGTAGCGTAGACCAGACCTGTAAGAATTAAAAAAAAAGAAAAAAAGCTTTTTAAAAAGAGGCTTGAAAGGAAGGGAGCCTCATCATCCAGGAACTGATGGACAGCTTCTCAATGGGAAGCTACCCATGAAGATCTGCTCAAAAGCAAGAGGTAACTTGTGTTAGACAAGGGATTTTATCCAATACAGAAGCATGAAGCTTTAGGTTGAGTGAGCAATAACTTTTGACTAGGGCCCACTTCAATTTCTGGAGGGGCAGGGCCTCAGGCAGAAGGGCGGGGTCAGAACACTTACGTGCTTCCCCACCCACAGACCCTGATTTGTCTGTGGGTGGGGGAGCACATGAAGTTTTTGCCCCCATTCCCCCAAAGAGAGAACCACCAACTGTTCAGAAAAGCTGGATGTTAAATAACTGGCGGTTTCTCTCTCGGCACCCGTACCCCTGGAGGTAGAAGGAGACTTTGCATGTTCCCCCACTTACCCCAGGTCAATCAGGGCCTGGGGGCAAGGGAAACATGCAAAGTCACCTGTCAGCTGAGTAGCAGCTGACAGTTGACTAAGTGACTAGCCCCTCACAAGGCAGGAGACTTTGCGCACTTCCCCAGGGTTGACTGTAAGGGCCATGTGCTCCCCGGCTCATGACTGGCCTGGCGGCAGGGGAGCAGCAGGCCCTCGTGCCCACCCCTCATCTATATGTTTATTTGCTGCACAACCTATGTATATTTGCTTTCCTTTACCAGTTCCTCTCACAGCCGGTTTCTTTTTCTATTAAATACACTTTTGGCTTAATTTTATAGCAGGGAAGTTCTGATGCTCAAAGTGTTTGGAGAGCGGACACCAAAATGAACTGGAGGGCTGGTTTCACTCTTCAGGAACTGACAAACCACAGGAAAACAGCTTGAGCCTTTAATAATTAAGAACTCATAGAAGGTAGATTTGGGGACACTCTAGGTACCCGACAAGGAGTAACGAGACTGGTAAGGGACAAGGTGAGACCATCAGGGATCTGAATCACAGAAGCCCAGCTCCAAGGCACATCCAAGTTACAGGGCAGGGGGTTTCAGACGTTTTGTCACTGTGGACGGTCGTCTCTAAAACAGCAGCCTTCTAGGGGCTACCACAAGTGAAATGGTGATGTGCATGGAGACTGGTTCATCTTGCAGGTAATGCTCCCAATGCTGTTTGCAGATCTCGCTTGGGGTGTACTCCACCATTCTTGCCACAACTGAAGCTTTTCTTTAGAAAAAGCTACGTTTCTAGCCCTATAGTTGCAAAGAAATCCTTCCAGATAGCAGTAACGATGCAGTGATACCAGCCTGAGTGCACAGGCAGCCTGCTTCTACTGGAGCTCAGACATCCTTGGACAACTGCAGAACAAAATTGATCAGACTCTTGTCAGTTTCTGCAGCTGCTATTCAGAATGCAACAGCAAAACTGACAAGAAACAAGCCAATTTCGCTCTGCTCTGGAGAGTTATGGCGGGCAGCAGAGAATAGAACATAAGAACAGCCAAGCCAGGTCAGACCAAAGGTTCATCTAGCTCAGTAGCCTGGCTTCCAGCAGTGCCCCAGAAGGAATGAACAGAACAAGTGATCACCAGGTGTCACCCATCTCCAGCTCCTCACAAAAGTGCTGAAGGCAGCAACTCTGAAGAAGGACTAAAAAAATCTGAGGCTGGCCAAGAGCAGAGGAACACACTGACACCCTTAGCAGCATACAGGCATCCAACTGGCCCTCCTGGGCCACCAGCAAGCACTCTGTGGGCTACCGTTTGGAAACAGCCGCTCAAAGCGCATGAGGCTGGCTCAGGCCCGCATACCCCAGAACAGGCCAGTCCAGCTACTCCGGCAAAGCCACCAAACAGAGGGGCAGGTCACACCAGGGGGAGCGTGGGCCCGCGGCAGGACACAGGGGGCTCCTTGAACACCATGAGCAACTGGCCGCCTTTGTGCCCCGCCCACGAGAAGGCCTGGATAAGAGCAAAGATACTGGGATCGCTCCAGCAAAAGCCACCATTGTCCCCCCGCCCAGGCCCAGTGTCCCACCCCC